CATATAGTTTACAGAAAATATCATTGACCAATGTATATATCCTAAAGTCAGTGGGAACGAATACATTTTTCTAGTCATATATATTGATGATATTTTACTTGCAAGTAGTGGTTTGGAATTGCTATATGACACAAACAATTTATTAGGCAAAACTTTGAAATGAAGGATATGAGTGAATTCTCTTATGTCATTGGCATAGAGATTCACAGAGACATGTCTAAAAGGTCATTAGGATTGTCTCAGAAGGCCTACGTTGATAAGGTTTTGGAAAGATTCAGGATGAAAGACTGTGCATCAAGTGTAGCACCCATTGTTACAAGTGATAAATTCAGTCAGAATCAATGTGCATTAAATGAATTAGAAAGAGAGCACATGGCTTCTATACCCTATGCTTCCGCCGTTGGCAATTTGATGTATGCACAAGTCTGTACTAGACCCGACATTGCATTTGCAGTTGGTGTACTAGGCAGATATCAAAGCAATCAAGATATAGAACATTGGAAAGCTGCCAAGAAAGTGATGAGGTATCTACAAGAAACCAAAGAATACAGACTCACATACAAGTATTCCGATAATCTTGAAGTTGTTGGATATACGGATTCAGATTTTGCGGAATGTGTAGACACAAGAAAATCTACTTCATGATACATTTTTCTTCTAGCTGAAGGAGTTGTATCTTGGAGAAGTAGCAAGCAGACTATAATTACATCGTCTACCATGGAAGCAGAATTCATTGATTGCTATGAAGCTACAACACATACATTATGGTTGAGAAATTTTGTCAAAGGCTTAAGAGTTGTCGATAATATAGAAAAGCTTTTGAAGATTTATTGCGATAATTCGACTGCAATTTTCTTTTCAAGAAATAACAAAAGTGGAAGCTGAAGGAAACATATCGACATAAAGTATCTAGTTGTCAGAGATCATATAAAGAGAAATGAAGTGTCCATTAAGCATATCAAGACAGATCTTATGATTGCGGATCCCATGACTAAGGGCTTGTCAGCTAAAGTTTATAAAGCTCATGTTGAAAATATGGGACTTGCGTGCTCTGATGTTTGGTTTTAAGATTGTTGTTTTATTTTGAAACAATGTTATTAGTGCACTTAAAGTTTGTAATTTGGATATCCATTATGGTTATTATAATTTGGACCCTGAATTACTTATAGGAAGTTCATTCGTAAAGTAAAGTACTCTCTAAAGATGATCATACTTGAAATACATGGAAGGAAATGTTTAGACCGCCATGATTCAAGTATTGTGAATTTCTACTTGAATAGGTTATTAACAGTTTCAGCATATTGTCATATTAAGTACCCACTTGAAGTTAACCATTGAACATGTGGACAAAGCGGGAGAATGTAAACCGTTTGTGGTCCACATGGTCAATATAAAGTTAAATAAATTTAAAGTTTAAATAGTGAGTTAATTAACTGCCTAAATAATTTCCCATTTGATTATTGGGGAGAAGTTATTGCAGAAAAACCACCAACTTCCATGATGGATGGAAGTTGTAGTGGTTGTCTTTATATATATATATATATGCCAAGGGTCCCTAGCCAAACTCGTGTGAAAAATCCTTGCAGATTTTCTCTCTTAATATTGAAAGTCACGTGTTTATTTCCATCAAGTTAGAGGGGTTATTAAGTGGGTATTGGTTAGAAGACGTTTGGTGTTTCGAGTACTCATTTCTACTGCAAATTTTCAATTAAATCTTGGATAACATGGCTGGAGGTATGTAATTTATGTCTTACAATTTTCGGTTTCGAACGAGTTTTGCAAACTGAAATTCTTCGGAAACTGTAGGAGATGTTTTCAAAATTTGAAAACAAGTTTCCTAACTTTGATTTTTTTGATAAATTTCGGAAACTTCGAGAAAACTTTACCAAGATTTTTAACAAGTGATTAAGATTTCTTTTACCAATTATATAAGAGTACAGTAAGTTAGACTACTGAAACTCTATTGAATGATGAAAAGGAACGAAACTCTATTTTGTAGTCTATTCATTTTTGTGCTAATAAAGAAAATGCTGACAAGCTGATATTGGAAACTTACATTCATATGAAAATTTCTGATATAAATTTTGAATTAAAGCTTTAGGCTGTAAGTTTCTTGCCATTTTTAAGGGTTTTTTTTTTTTTTAATTAAGTTCTACCTTTTATGCCCGCAGATTCTTTAAGATGCACCTCTGCTTTAACAGTTATTCTGGCATTTGTTTTCCTAGTCATTACTGTATACATCGATGTGTTTAAATTGGTGAAAGGCTCTATTGGAATGCCCAGATTGCTTCCCGATATTACTGATATTAATTCAGCTTGGAAACTCTTTACCATCGTCCGTGTTCTTGTGGCCGCATATGTCTACCATTTTAATGGTATAGCAATCTTACACACACCTTCCTATGTTACACATTTCCATGAAGAGGTTTGCTTAGCCCATGTTTGATACACATTCTTTCAAAATTAATTTTCAACCATACATTCTTCAATAAAATAATATTTCTCATCACATCAATAATTTTTCCTTATTTTATAACCACGTATTCGGTATTTCCAGGATTAAACCATATGTACAAAAAAAATTTGACAGAAGTTTTACACCCACTCACATGTGTGGGGCCCACTGAAAAAAAAATGAAAAAAAAAACCCCATCCACCCCCTACATTGTGAGTATCTGGTTTTCTTCTGTGAACCATGCTTCTGTACGTGAAACATAGTTCTATTTTCAATCATATCACTATTTAAAATACGTTCTTTCTTCAATAATATCCATCAAAGACACTCTTAATGACGAGTATTGTTAGTGTTTTGAAAAATACAAAAAGAAAATTAGAAAAACTACTGAAATTGTATAAATAAAATAATAAAAGGAAATATTATAATAAATAAAGTGACAATAATATTAGAAGAAATGGTTGTTGAGGTAGTAGTGGAATTAAAATGAACCAAAGTCTGTGTTGTACACAGTTTTCTTAAAATAGATTGGACCCTTAATGTGGTGTAAAAAAACTGATACTGTCTGTCTCTCAGGACACAACGGTTAAAAGTAGCTAATTAGCATCCCGTCACTACTCTAGGCGAACTAAGAATACTCACAATTTTATTACCAAGTTTGAATAAAGAACTAAACTCTCTAAAGTACTAAAAAAAAGAGGAGGGAGAAACTTAGAGGGAAGAAAGAACTCTCAATTTTTTATGTGAAGAATAAGGAGGTGTACACTTCCTTATATAGTACTAGGATGAGGGATGTTTCAAATTCTTAGTTAATTTTGTATTTAACACAAATAATGTTACAATAGACATGAATGAATTTGTAACCATAAATTGATTAAGGAATTGAACCAATTCAAATACAAATTAACTATAGAATTGACTAGACTTGAAACCAATGAATTGTTGCTACAATTTCATTCAACTTGAATATATTATTTTCCAATAGTAAGAGCTCTTGTTATTGAGAAAAAAAAAAGAGCAAATAATCCGGCATTGCGTTTCGAAAGCTATTCGTACTTCTTGCAAACTTGTTGAAAGCACCATGCATTTCACTCTATTGGATATTGCCAAATTCATGTTAAGGGATGTAAGACATCCAAAACAGGTCCTCCGAAATTTTGGTCATAATTCCTCTAATTTTGGTTTATGTTTTATCTGCCACTATGATTTTTCTTAATTTTCTGTTTTTTCCCCCCTCTTTCGTTTGAGCTTTTAACTATGTTTTTTAACTCTTGCATCTGTCTCCCTCTGGCCCAATTTCTTCAAACACGAGATCATCATACAATGCAATATCCCTTTATCTAGTTTAACTGCATGAGAAATTTACATTAACAATAGAAAAAGCCACGGGGGAACAAGATCTTGTGACTGAAAGATACCGAATGGCTTCTTAAATTCACAAGGCAGAATTATACAGGATAGTAATCCAAGACGAGTATGCAATGATCAGTTCACTAGCCATTAAATGTAATCAGTAGACGAAGAAATCATTTGGCCTCTATATATATTAAAAAAAAAACTTTTTTTCAATACAAAGCTTTGAGAAAAAATAAATAGCACCTACAAAATTTCTCTATTACTACATGCATTTCTTTATGCTATACAAAGGTAAGTCGAGCTAACTGGGATAATACCAGTGTCAAGTTAACAACCAATTTTGGTCCCCTCTCCAGTGAGCTTCCAGTTCTTCAAAACTCACAACCCTTTGGCATCAGGAATGCATCTGGACAAGTATCGAAAGAAGCACGTACATAAATCTATGTTGAAGTTTGATTCAACCCCCATCTTATACACTGCAGAGCCTCTAGTTTACAGTCAAAATGTTAGTATCAAAAGTGCTCGTTTAGCCATTAAAGCAACTGGTGCACCATCATCTCGTCCCAAAAGCTGGGTTCCACTACATTTGGTTATATGTGTCAAGACATTGAGGAAGAAATTCAATTGTCCCCAACACCTTACTGTATGCATCTTTCTGATACATGTAAGAAAGAAAACCCGTAATCAATAAAGGGGAGCCAATTACGGGAGGGTGTGCTCTTCTTGCTCTTTTGTTGGCAGTCGGCTAAAAGCATAAAAAGAACCAAAGATATTCAGAGATGCCATGACCAGGCCATTTAGAAGTAAGAATTCATTGGAAAGTGGGCAGTATCCGTTCGTTTAGTTGAAAAAATAGGGAGACTCCAGAACTTCTCTCAAATCAAAGTCTCCACGTTCTGGCAACGGAGGAAAGTTTAACTTTGGGAAAGACTGCTGAAAACTTTCGGACAACTGTACAAAAGAAGCAATAGTTACGTAAACTTATTATCCAATTGTTATCAAACAAACCTTTAAACAGAACTTTAACCAGAAGGTCACTAACAATTCATAATAAAATACATGTAAAATCGATGTTTCCAACTTTTAACAAAGAACACTTCTACTAGATAAGTAATTTCATTTAAAGATAGCAATTTCTGAGTATTGTCTTAAATCCTATTAAATCATGAAAACATAAGCTAACTATATTCAGCAAGTACCGCAATATAAAAAGAAACCGATCAGGATTTAACAAAGCAACACTAAAATCCTCCACCAATTTTTTTTCCTTAAGCTCACATGAGAATGATGAGTGAAATATAAAATCACCGCTGACAATCAAATCTTTCCTAATTTGGGGGAATCAAGGAAAACAGCCCCCATATCTAAGATTATTAAGACGATTTGTGTTAGTTGATGATACTAATACTTTGGGCACGGTAGAACTCATGAAACATTGAGTGAAATATAAAATCACCACCGTCAATCAAATATTTCCTAATTTGGGGGAATCAAAGAAAACAGCTCGCATATCTAAGATTATTAAGACGATTTGTGTTAGTTGATGACACTAATACTTTAGGCAAGGTAGAACTCATGAAACATTAAAAAGTGAATATTCCCAGTGTAATTAGCCTCACTTAGTCATGAAGAGGACGCTATCATCAGTAATTCTTGTAGTTTAAGTTGGAGCACCTATGGTGTTGTGTGACTGAAAAAAAGAAAGGAATTCCATATAGCACCTGAAAGAACAACCTTGTTTTTATGGAACCAGAAGCTGGACTACTAAGAGCATCTCCAAAAGCATCGATTATTTTTAAAGAGCATCATGTTCTTTTTCAATTTAGAGTAATTTTTTTTTTCACAATCCGACAACACTCTTTATTTTGGCTCTTCATTTTACTTTTTCAACAAACGTTTGTTCATTTTCGCTCATCTTTTATTTACTATACTTGTTTACAATCAAAAGAGGTGCTAATGGCTAAAATATTCATAGTATTATTTACATAAGCAAGCAAAGAAGTGTACTATTGAAACTTGCAATTCATTAAATGCAATTATTATAAAATACAGATAAAGAGTGGGATTGGCTCTCCAAATGTAGAGCCAAACCCACTCTTTATTTTAAAGAGTTAAAATAGAGTGTTTGGAGCTTTATTTTAAGCATTCACTCTTTAAAATAAAGAACAACTTACCTTTCTTGGAAATACTCTAAGAAACCAAATTTATGTAGAGTGCAATTATACAAATACAAAAAGAGCACACTAATGATTTGGTTAAGGTATCATCTAGTGAAGAAAAAATGGGAGACTAAACTACGAAAATTAGAATGTATTCAAGAAAGGTCACTGTTGCATCGTCCAGGAAGTGGAGGAGTAATATTAATGGTTAACCTAGCAGGAAATTGATATAAAATCATATGAGATGAGAAAATCGAAAGCATTCGAGGATTGATTGGTTTTTCATTTCCTGGTTGACTAGTTAAATAATATTTAAAGGTCTTCCACAATATACTCCATCCATTTCCATCCAGCATTATTCTTTCAAGTCATATAAACAATGGCATAAATAAGGGAAGTAATGCACCATCATTATCTTGCAAGCGTTGCCATCTCCCCCACCCTTCATTATAAGAAAAGAAGGATGGTATAGACAAAGAAGCATCGACCTATGCATACAAGGATGTTAAGTTAAATTGGGCAGTGATAGAGAAACTCACATTCTCCAAAATCGGTGCGTCGTAGAGTTCAACAAACTTTTCTCTGAGAATCTTGTTCATTTGCTCTACATCACATGCATGCGTCCAGTATGAATCATGCACTCCTAGAATCAAATTGTAGTAAAAATTAGTAGACATTCCTGCACTAGAGGGTGCACAAAAAAAATAAAAATAAAAAATAAAGAGAATACTGATGGCAGGAGATATAGACAATTCCAGAAACCTGCAAAACTTAACCCTGCCTCTTTACAAGCAATGGCAGTCATCATCATATGAGAACCATCGAGGGAATGAACAAAATTTGGAGGAAATGCCGTTCTCTGCCGCTTAACCATCACCTGAGGAAACAAGAAAAAGATAGCACATAATTATAGCTGTTATATGCTTTATTAGCTGTTACATTCTGATTTCTTCTACATCGGTTTTAACTTTTTTTCTTCATTTCTTTATTTATTTTCTTTGCTTTTATGATTGTTGTGCATGTGCCAGGGGATGGGGGGTTGCATAGGGAAGCAATGTTGTAATAGGATGGAGGACAACAAAACGAATCATGACACAGCTACACTTCAACACACACCATTCTTGAGATCAGAAATGGAAAAGAACTGGAAGTTACCTTGTCAGTTTCACGTTGGAGGGTCAAAATCTGAAGAGAAGTCTTAATCTGCACCAAAATTAATACCCAATCTTGAATGAGATATTAAAAGAAAATGACTATATCCTACTGCTGCGGTTACTACTACCAGTACCAAAACAATAATAGTAATAACAGCAGCAGCAACAACAACAACAATAACAAAAATAAATAAATTATGTTTTGTTTATTTTTGTTGATGATGATAAAAACAGAGAATAATTCCATAGGTTAAATGTATGTGAATGTTACCAGATGTCTTCCCAATTTCCGGTAAGGTTGCACAACAGGGAGCCCAAGTGGTGTGGTCCAACGAACTGGTTCATTCTCCATAGCTATAATCTAACACAGAGGAGAAAGAAGAAAAAGAAAAGAAAAATGAAGCATAAAGAACTATGATGCAAGGATGAGATAATGAACAGGAGTGAAAGAGCACATCATTCTCCATAGCTATAATCTAAAACAGTGGAGAAAGAAGAAAAAGAAAAGAAAAATGAAGCATAAAGAACTATGATGCAAGGATGAGATAATGAACAGGAGGGTAGTGATATAAGCAATGAAATGAAGAACAGAAATGAAACAAATATTAGATAGAATATAATAGTAGTCCCTACGTCGACTATTCAAGTATCATGTTCCATGGTGAGTTTATTTATACATAGCAATCTCTGCTGTTGCCCAAAGGGGCCTGGTAGGATGATGATAGTCTGTACAAATGGAGGTTTTTAAATGTGCTGGTTAATTTGGTGTATTGCCGAACGTTCTATCATGCAAATTTCTTCTCTGCACTCCGTAGTAGTTTATCTCATTCCTTATGTCCATCTTCTATCCTCTGTCCCTCCATAAAACACACATGGGTTTTTTATTTTCTAATGCTCCGCCACCGCCTATGATTTCCAACCCAGTTCAACCGAATAGCGCAATCAAGATTGAGAACTTCAGAAACTGGTTCCTATAAATATATATATTTTTTATCGGTAATCACGTAATTTTATAAATCAAAATCAAAAGATAATACACAAGGAGTGCATTATCAGTTTAAACAAGATAGAAACGATAAAAAATTTGGTAACCCTTCTATCGGACTAATGGTTGCAGCCTTAAACCAACTATACAAAGTCAAGTAAAACAATTCCTTCAGTTTAAACAAGATAGAAACGATACCTTTCAAAAAACAAGATAGAAACGATAAAAAATTCGGCAACCCTTATATCAGACTAATGGTTGCAGCCTTAAACCAACTATACAAAGTCGTGTAAAATAATTCTCTAAATTGCTCTGTAGCATCGGCCGTTTCTTCTCTCCACAAACCAAACGATGCATCCTCCTATAAATATTATAATTGCCTCATAACTATGTTACCTTAAACAATTTTGCATTTCATAATTATCCGGATAACTTTGGCACTTATCATGTGTAGAATCTAAGTATAAATGTCAAACTAGGTGATCTGAAGAAAACTACCCACACACTGGCAAAAACTTAGCTCGTCGCATAATGCACTGTAGATTCTGTTCTTGAAGTGGAACTATCCACATTCTAGGCAATTCTAGCTTCGCCTATTTATATACCAGTATTTGATCTTAGGCAGGTTCAGGTAAAAGGATGTTAGTGGGGATTTGGCAGCAGTAGAATAGATTTTTACGTAAACAATTCCATATAATAGAATGGAACATACCTTTGCACAGTCTCCAAGCCAACTCATGATGCTCCGCGCAGCTTCAAACATCTCACCTAAGGCAGTCAAGGTTGTCTGCTCAAGGGATGTAAAATAATTAGCTCAAACCTCCTAAGCAACATGTAGAATATGTGTGCAGAACAGAACCGATAATTCCTCAACATCATATGAAACACATCTATGCCACATGAAATGTTATAATATTAATTTTGTTATAGTTCAAAAGGAAACTTGGCAAAAATAAATAAAGCTATATGCTCTTACCTTTGCTGCATAGCAAGCTGCAGAAAACAACTCTGTGTCATCCTCAATAACACCACGCTCCTTTAACCTCTTTTTGATCTGATCCCTTGCACCTATGTAAGTGACACCATATACCGATGTCATCACAGTTTGCTTGACTAATTTCCTGTCCACCTGAAAACAAAGAACGAAGAACTTAAATTGTAACAACATAAAAGGAAATAGACACCGGAAGCATGCCACTCAATGCGTCCATAGTTCAAGGATATAAAGGCTAAACCAGGAAATAACTTTTATTATTCATAATAAAGCATAAACAGCAACAGCAAAAAGCCATTTTCATATTACTTTTAAGTCACGATATCTGGTAAACAAAATAAATACATAAAATACAATGAAACCTGGTTAATTAACAGTCTAGCACGCATAACATTGGGATCAGTTGCGGGGTCTTTTGCAGCATCCCTCTTCATGATGTCAAGAACTCTACATTAGAAACAGTCAGTAATGAATTCAACTACATTCGGATAGCAGGACATGTATGTGTA